ATCACGAGCCCCGCGCTCTGGCTGCGCAGCTGCTTCTGCTACCTCCTCATCCGCCTCTACTTCGACCCGGACTTCAGCGTGGAGGAGTTCACGCGTGGTGCCAAGCAGGTGAGGCCGCGGGAAGGGCCCGCGCCGTGTGCCCCGCGCTGGGGCTCTCCAGGGCCGCGCTGCGCCGGCGTTGAGCCCGGCGCTTCTCCGTGTTCATCTCCCAGGCTCCGAAATTCAAACGGGCTAGTGAGGCCATCCCCCCGCACTGTGAAGAAAGGCATTTCCAGGTGCTCTGGGGGAAAACGTGGCTCCTTAGCTGGTTTTCCCTGAGGTGGCAAAGCTGAGGCAGCCCTGGGGGATGCACAAGGCTGTGCCTCCCGCTCCCTGGGCCCTGCGAGCATCCGCAACAAAGTGCGGTACAGGGCTTGAGGCCTCCAAATTAATTTTGTAAAAACTCATGAGTTAACTCACATGAGACTTCAGCTATTTTTGAAGTAATGAGGGCAGAGTATCAAAATGCCTGAGAGTTTCACAGAAAGATAAAACTGCACCAAATTAGTTGTGGTGCATGCAGAGCTGCATGTGCTTCCTTACCTCTCTTTATTTATTTTTTACTTTATTTTTTACTTTTATTTTTATTTTTTTATTGTAAACCTAAACATGTTCTCAGTGTTTTAGAAGTGCACTACCTGAGTACGTAGGGGTTTTGAAGTTACATCTGCAAAATGGGTGGGAGGTTGGCAGGAGTTTAGACTCATAAAGAATTTTGCTATTAGCCTGCACTTCTGTTTTGGGTGAAAATGGGAGATGGACTGGGAACAGGGGTGAGGGAAGGGACAATTTACAGAAAAAGTTGTAGATTGGTTGAATTAAGAGAGAGTAAATCCAAGCTGTATAGATTATTTTATATATGTCTATGTATTTTCGTAAGTTAAACATTTATTTCCTCACTTTCAAAAGATTTTTGAATGAGCTTGAACTTTTTATACCTTTCAAATTAATTTCTTTAATAGTAAATAAACCTTTTTTTTTAATGCTGGCGGTAGTATTTCCATGATGACAAACACTGCAAACATTGAACTCTGTTGTGGAATATTTGGTCTCTTGACTCATAGCAATGAATTTTGCTGAAAAATCAGCCAGCTCAAACTTAGCTGCTCATGTGTTTTTTTTTTTTTTTTTTTTTTTTTTTTGCAGGCCTTCTCTCTTGTTTCCAAGCTGCTGTCTCAGCATAAACTTGACCTGCTGGAAGAACTTGTGTCAGACGAGGTAAATACTCCTCATCTCCTATTCTGCTAATAGATTTTCAGTTACAAAATAACATATATTTGTGCCTGCTGATAGGTACAAACACTGCCATCAGTGTAATTTGAGAAAAGTAAAGATTTTAACTCTGAACAGGGCAATTCTGTTTGTCTTACAACTTGTTATGTTTAACTTCAAGGTATAGGAGAACTTGGCTAGTTAAACATCAGTGCTGTGTATTCTGTCTTTTTTTTATAATTTTTTTTTAAATGCTGAAGTTATCTTGGCTTTCCTAGGGGATGCAGAGAGCAGATGGAACAGAGCCAAATGGAAGAGCTCCTCCAGCTCTGAGTCTGCCCTGTTACTGGATGGCAGCTTGATCTGCCCTATTGCCACCCCTGCCTTTGAAGCGCAAATTTTGGTGCTATTCTAGTGCATTCCCACTGGACAATCTTGTCTCCTCTGTCTAATCAGAGATAGCAATAAAATGTGATTTTTTTAATAGTTATTTTGAAAGAGCACCTCCTCTTTCTCTGCTCATCTTAAATTCTCTGGGTGATCAAGACTAATAGAAAACCAGAGACCCTGTGTAGCCAGGACATGTGCTGGCTGAGGCTGTGATACCAGCTGCTCTTTCCCCCCCAGTCCCCAAATGTTATCCTTCTTTCTCGTAGATACTATGGCTTCTAGTGAAGATTGCTTCTTTTGCTTCCATAGGACCTCTGGATTTCTTTATTATTCAAAAATGGCAACTTCAGTTAGGCTAAGAGCTAAGTCTGAGCTAAAAATAAACACTGAACAGCTTCATCATTCCTTGTGACCTTGCGTTGTCACGTGGTGTTTGAGGTTATGTTTGATTCATAAACTTTCCATTTTACTTAATAGTTGTTTAGATCCTTGGGGCAATCCTATGCTAGGGCTATGAGTGTCCATGAAACTTCACTTTAAAAGCAATGTTTTTTCAGTCTTTTCTGGTTTGCAAGTTTCTAAACCCTTTTTTAATGGGAATGTGGATCCCTAAATAACAAATTTAAGCATAGAGATAATATAATTTCTTTTCAAAGAAGCTTATGGAAGATAACAAAGGAATAACTGAATCAAAAGGTAAAGAATGTATGTATGGAGAGAGGACATCAGTGAGAAGGTAGACTGTGAGTATGATTGTAGAAGCAAGCTTAACTGGTATTTTTTTTAGGCTTATATGCATTTCTTTCCAGATTTTGTTTTGATAGTAACTTCCAAAAAGAAAAGCTTTTTTAAATGTTTGGGTTTCATTGAGTTTCATTCTAGTCATTAAATAGTCCTTGTTTAACAGAGCTGATTTTGGGGTTGGGGGTGCCCAAGTGCTTTTTCACACCCCATGTTATATATTTAAATTATGTGATATAGCTTTTTTATTAATAGCAGTAGAGAAGATTATTGCTCCAATTTTCTGCTGAAAAACTAAGCTACAATTTTTCTAAATTTAGGCCCTTAAGGTTTTGAAGGAAAAGATTTCAGTGCTTCCTGACAACCACAGGGATGCCTTAGCAGCCGAGTTAGATGCAATCATGTACACAACAGAAGGAGACGTTCGTATTTACTATGATGATGACGGTATGTTTAGACTTTTAAAACGCTTCAAGGGGCAATCAGCTTTGCTCCAAGTAGACATTCTCCTTGCAGATGTCTCTCTGAATGTTGTTTCTCATTCCTTGTTCCTCTGTTTGTAGTTTCTTCTGTGTGTCATTCCCTGACTTCCTTTTATACCAGAGCCAGAGACATTACTGTTAATAAGTCATGGTATTATTTTGACTTCTGTTTAAGTTTTGCTCGCTCCTCCTCTTCTCTGATATCCTGTTATTACATTATTTGTCCTAATTCATCTCAAATCACTCAAAAACTCCAATTATGCTTTGTTTTTTATTATTTCAATGCATTAATGTTTAATGCTCTGTATGCTCATATGCTCTATACAGAAAGCTATTTACTTGGACCGTGAAAATACATCTTGCAAGAGGAATAATAAGGACTGGATAATGAAATGAATTGTGTTGCTTTCCCTTATGCCCTGCTTTCATGGAAAAAAAGTCTGTTCTAGGACATCTGTATTAAAAACTTTTTGGAGCTCATCATTAGTTTAATATTTTCTTTAATGCCAGCATTGTGCACTTGGTTCTTTATCAAGCACAGTTGAGGTGGTTCAAAGGCTAATTAAATCTAATCATGGGCCTTCTAGTGGGGATTTCAAGTTCTCAAACTCAAATAGTTTTGATTTGGTTTGTTTTTTTCCTGTTTTAGGGAAGGAGGAAGAGGATTTTTTTTTCTCTCTCAAAATGTTAATTCCTGAGTTTCAGCTCCTCTGCTGCGTGTACTTTTGTAGTGTCAATAGTTGCCTTTGGAACCTGTTGCAACCTTCTTTTCATGTAGCTTAACTTTATACCATGTCAGTAAAAACTCATCATGTATTACATACCTTTCTGCTGAAAGTAATTCTGTTGTTGCTGAACGGCACGAACATGGGTTTAGATTTATTTAGATTTTATTGTTCATTATTGTATCATGCATTCCTTTTGGCTAAAGACAGTTGCCCTTTCTGGGTCTCAGGAGAACATGTGCAATATTGTAAATAGGAGTATTTGACCAACTACAAATGCATATTGTTCAAGAGATCTAACTTTGCTTTGGTTTTGTTTCGAATAGGAAGAAAATTTGTTAGGATACTGATGCGTTTTTGGTATCTGAATGGTGCTAATTTACCGGATGAGATACCAGGTGAAGCTAAAGTTTTCCAGATTATGTTTGGAGATGAAAATACAAAAGAAAAAAAACATCTTTTAACAGCAAACTATGAGTAAGTTTCCCTGTCTTTTTCTTTGCTATAAACCGTATATAGGCATATAGATAAGAGGAACTCTGTGGAAAATAGTTTGGGAAGTGGAAGCGTTCTGAGCAGGGCAGTGCAGAACATGGTTTGTTTTCATTTACCTTACCTCTAAGCTAAGCTCTTGTCCAGCTTTCCAGTTTTTATTCTAGGGGCAATTTTTAAAAATATCCATTAAAGTAATCATGCTGTTACCTAGTTTCTGAGTTTGAGATTAATGAGAACTCTCTCTCTCAGGAAAGACAATACTTGAAAAGTTTAATAGGGTTTCTGATTCCTGTGCTGCTCCTGCAGCTTTCAGGGAAGAGGCCAGTATCAGTCCCTGATTCCTGTTTCTTGCAGTAACTCACAGCAATCCAGTCAAGCCAGGCAATTAAGTGTGGTGATGCTGACTTGTCACTTCTTGCACAAAAGTCAGTACTGCAATTAGCTCAAGAATATGGTCTGTAAAAGAGGAAAATGTGTAGCCAAATGCTTTCTGCAGAAGAAGACAGACAAACATTTATCCGGTATTTAGATAATTCATGCCACTGTGTTCTGAGCCCTTGAAGCACACGCTAGTCAGGTAGCTGGATTTCCCTGGAATGTTTACAAATAATGCCTGTTGGTTTACTAAGTCGGCAATGGAAAAAGTACCTGCACAGCTGGCAAGTTGTATTGAACAAGAAGAAGTTGGGAAAAGCGAGCGACCTTGTCTGAGAAATACCATATAATCAGTGACTTCTAAACCCGCATTGGAGTGGGAGGAACTCTGGGGCCTATAAGCCCCAGAGTAAAAGAGACAGTCTGAGGACACACATGTTTTTTCTCACGGATGGATTTTTTGGTTCCATCCCTTAACCTCCTCAGTGCTGGAGGCTTCTCGCATTCCCATTAACCTCAAAGAGTGTCTACACTTAAGGCACTAATATGAATTTCTGATTCCTAGCAGAGAGTTACTTTCACAAGCAAGTGTTCCTTCTGCTATTGGTAGTGCTGACCTAGACTCAAATGGGCAATGACACAAGAGACTTTGGAAGCTGAATGTTATTGTGTTTGGGTCTGGAGAAGGCAGTTCCCAGGAGTAAACTGATGTGTAACAGCAAAGCAGCGAGGTTACATTGCTGCTCTCCGCGATTGAGCTTGAATTCAGACTTACTTTTAAGTGACAACCAGCCAAAACTGACAAAGTCAGGGAGGAAGGTATTGATGACTGGAAAAGAAAGGGGGAAGGCTCTTTGAAAATAGAATTTGTGTTTTCATTTTCCTGTCGGCAACTGTGGAATTTAAATTTAGAGAGATTTAGCGTTACTTGTACTACTTTAGAACTGGCTTGATTTTTGCTATATCTCTGAAAATGTAGTACTTCTAAGTATTTAAAATACAGTTCAGTAAAAAATTCAGGTAGAGTTTTTAGCATGCGACATGTTCATTTGCAACACTGCTACCATCTAATTAAAGTGCAAACTTTTATTTAGGATTAAGATTTGCCATAAAGCTATATTCAGGGTTATTGTTATGACAAGCTGGTACTGTGTTGATAGCAGGATCTTTACTCTTGCTGCTTGATCCTTTCGGTGGGATCTGAGCCTAAACCCTTTGAAATCAGAGTAGAGACTCCTGGTAAATTGAGTGTGCTGTTTCTTGCAGTAGGAGTCATTTCAATTTTCCCTTTTGGTCCATAAGCATCAGAGCTTAATGAGCTGTTACAGGAATAACGGCCAAGTAAACTGTTTCTTCATGTTTTCTTATTGATGTTAGTAGCTCTTTAAGGATCAAGTGAATTTTTAATAACTCTTCACTTGTTGTGCTACCTTTTCCAGGTTTCAAAGAGAATTTACAGAAGGAGCAAAACCAGACTGGACTATTACACGGATTGAACATCCAAAGTTATTGGAATAAATGTCTTCTGCAGTGTCTCTGTGTACCACTATAAATGTTGTGACATCAGGCATTTTTTGGTCTCTTTTTCCTTTCTCCTAACTCACCCAGAGAGGGATGGATTTTATATATTTGTTTCCCCAAATTGTTTCTGAAATGTACACTGTACTGAAGAATTACAATGAAGCCTTTTCCCTGAAACAGGCTAATACAAATTTAACTGGTAGTAGCGCTCATCTAGGATATTTGTGCCGCACACAAAGTGATGGAGATGAGCAGCATTTTCATGGCTGGTGGCCCTCCTGAGTTATTTTCATGTTTCTTTTTTTCCCTAGGGAATGTATAGTATGTAATATCTGAGATAATAGAAGAATATTTGAGATAATATAGATGAACTTCTTAGATTGCAATATAATCCTTTGAAATAAGTACTCTGCAGACAATTTCAAATTTTAGAGGCTTAAGGAGAGAAATTAAATAGTGAATTAAAAAGGAGGCTGAACACATTACAGTAAAGTCTTCTCTGCTTCTCAGGGAAGTAAGCAGGTCATTAAAATCAGATTGTTGCTGCCTTTGGAACAACTAAGTCCATAGGCTGTTACTTGAGATTATTATGTGCAGTTCAACAGTTCATGATAATAGTTTTGTGTCCTCATCTTTGCTTTAAAGATGAAGCTAAAACATCTGACCTAGGCCTGTTGAATAGATTTGTACAGTGTTTTGAAAATGTAAAATAAGTATAATATAATTTACAGGATCTCTGATTGTGGAGTATAAATTAAATATCCTATAGTTCAGCTCCTTTGATTAGGTAGTTTAATGACAAGACTGTTTAGACCTTGTCAGTAGTGTTATTCTGTCAAGTTTTGGTGAAACAGTGAAGGTGTTTTGTTCACGCAGTTATGCTTGCTCTTAAGGGTAATACCAGCATGACTTTACAGTGGAGATTTTGTGATTTAGCCACTGGATTAAGAGCCTTGTCCTGAGAGGAGAAAACACAAAATTCTGTGTTTGAAGTTGCGTATCGTCCCTCTGTACGTGATCACACTGGAGAGGTTTGAGGCAAACAAAAAGGACAGTCATGGCATAGTGTAAGGGACTGTCCTGCCAGTAGCGAGTGCTCTGTCTTTGAAGGGAAGGTGGAGCAGACACTCAGTAAACAGTGCAAACCTAACAGTGGTTATAATTGATATTACTGATATCAATTGATAATAAACAATAGAGTAACTGCTAATCAGGTTATTGATTAGTAAATTGATAGTAATAAATTGATATTATTTTTAATAACAGCCTGGTTTTGTTCACTATGAAATGGTGACTTGATATGAACCGTACTCTTAAGTTGATAATTACAGTTTTCTTGAAGATATCAAGAATATCATGAAGATATCTTGATAAGTTATCATTCAGAAATGTACATGTGCTATCTTAGGTACTTACGTACGTAAGTATATGTACTATCTTACTTCTTAAGGATGAGTTTCTTTTAGTTTTCTTTTCTTCTAAGTTTCCTTAAATGTATTCCAGAGACTAAAAGTCTTCATCTAGTGCAAAACTGCCTGCACCGTTAATGTATCATAAATATATATATAAGATATCAGGATTACTAAGCACAGTAAAAACCGACTTTTTCCTTCCCAGTCATTTGTTGATGTAGAAAAGAAGCTTCTGTTTTCCACATAGCCAGCCTAAAGAAATGATGTGGTGTCTTCGACCTAACTCATAGTGAATAAACTTCTGTAGATTGCAAAGACCGTTCCAAATTCTCAGGCAAAAAGGAGAATGACAGGACAATTATTTTTGTCTTGGCGGACCCCTTAAATCTCTCAGACTAAGATGGAGGAGAGTGTTGTGCCATAATTAGGAGTGATTTCCAGTGCCATCATTTTAATCTCCTGAAACCCATAATAGTAAGTGTTTAAAAAAAAAAAAAAAAAAAAGCTCTAAGGGCAGTGTTTTATTGAATGCCTCTTCCATGATTTAGGAATAGGCAATGGGTGCTCTGAGACAAACCAGTCTGTGTGGGATTCTGCTGTTTTTACCGCCACAGTAAGGCCAGCAAAAGTGCAATCCAGGCTCGTATCCTGAGGATGCTAAGTAATCTAAGAATAGATTTACTGCCCCTGAAGATGCATATGCCCATCTAAAATATTTGCTGCTTTAGGCTGTGTACTTCATCATACAAACTCCAATAGCTCTTGAAAACAGGTTTACTAGGTTTCGTAGTGATTTTTAGATAAAATCTTTATCTTTAGTAGCAAGGCTGACGCATTGGATTCATTTTGCACCAAAGAGTCAGGTGTCAAGATGAGTAGGCCTGAACTGGGGATGCCAGGATTAAAGATGTCATGTCCATGTTCTTTTCCCCTGGATGAAATCAGGTTTCTTTAAGGTTCTTGTGGAATCGAGGAATGCTTTAGTTATTTCCTTGTTCCTCCCAAACTGTGATCATACTTACTCACTGGATGTTGCTTAGGAGTAATCAGCTGCTTGGCACAGTTCTGCTGCACGTGTCTGCGAGTCCTGACGAGCACAAGCTAGACGGGAGCAACGCAAACCCTGAGGCTCTGCACATGCCGTTCACCAGTAGATGGCCTTGGACACAAAGCCACCGTGGATGAGGAGGGACTAGCTTTAAGAGGAATGGAAGGCGAAGGGGATAAAATGCGATTGACTCTCATTTAAGCACAACTTAAATCATTTACAATTTGTCTATTAACAAGTCATTATTTTCCTGCTGGCTTGGATCATGAGCAAACCACAGCGTCTGTGTTCTGTCTGTACAGTGCATACCTGTTTTAGAGTGGCAATGTAACAGCATTCCTAATACAAAAACGTAGTTGTATGTGTGAATTTAGCCAGGCACCTTAGTGTCTGACAGATAATAGCAAATCTGGGTTTTTTATTCATTTTTCAAATAACACTTAGCATGTCAATTGTGATTCCTTTTCCTCCTGTCCCAGTATTGTTCTGCTTACTTGGAGGGCCCCATTCAGCTTTCTCCATCCAGTCTTTAAGGCATAAACTAGCTTAACTTTACTCTTGCTTCAGGTTATACTTAATTGTTTTCAAGTTTCCTCTTACAGCTGGAAGGATGCTTAGTACGGGAAGTCGCATTGTTTGTCACGGTAGTAACGATCTTCCTTCATATCTTAGCAAGTCTTTTGTTCCTCATTGGTCATGTAGCTTGGTTTAAACTTGGTTTCTGTCCCCTGGGCCTCCGCTTCATCAGCTGCAGGCAAAGGCTTTGGAGCTTCTCTCTAGATTGCACTGAAGTGCTTCCAGGAGGTGTTCGTGGCCTCATCCCCTCCTCTCTCAGGGACGGGACAGCTCGGTCTCTGCGCTTGGGACCCTGCGTAGGCGCAGCGAGGAGTATGCAGCTGGCAGGAAAGCGTCACCTGCAGAGCTCTCCTTCCATTTCATCCAGGGGAAAAGCAGCTGAGCCACGTGGAGTTGCATGGTGAGTGATGATCCAGCGAGCCGCAGGCAGGTACCTCCTTATCTTTCACCTTTCATTTCCTGCTAGTCTGCTGTCTTTCCATTTGTCCTGCAACCCTGCCAGATAGCATTGAATAAGTTTGTATATACATCTACAGCTCTGTTTAAAACAGCCGCTTCGCCACAACTCTGTTATAAGGACATTCTCTGAATCCAGTAACGTAGGCTTTTCCTAACGTAAGACCTTGCACCTATTAAAGTTGATGGGAAAGCTCTCGCTGACTTTAATGGGAGCAGACTTGGTGCTTAGTGTTTCTGCTGTCTTTGAAGTCATGCCGTTAGAAATAGAGGAGAGCTAAAATTAGCCACATTGTTTTCTCTTGTGTGCCGCTTCCTCCCTCCTCCACGGTCAGAGCAGGGCTCCTAAGAGGGACCTTGCTGCCGTAGTGTTCGCAGGTGAGTGGAAGGGGACAGGGCAAGCACAGCAGGGTGTATGTGTAAGCATGGTCAGATCGCAGCAGTGTCAGGCTGTCCACACAAGCTTGTCCATGTGGCCAAACCTGCCCTTTTGGCAGGAGAAGCCTTCCATCGAGGATTTGCTGCTATCGCAGGATCACCTGGTAGAGGAGAAGGCATTTCAGCCCTCTGCCTCCAGGAAATGAGCGATTCAGCGTGTGTAGAGAGTCAAATGGTGACTATAAGTTTTTCCACTAGATTGTATTTTGCACTCAACATCATCCTCCTAAATAGCAAGCTGTACTTGCCCCCTGGTTCATGTATGAGGGCAGAACCTCGAGTTCACCAGTTGGACATCCTTATCCTTGCAGCAGTTTCACCGTGTGGCTGGTGAAGCTCAGCGGCGCTGCAGCAGGTCAGCTGCAGGGTGCTGCTGCCTCGCTCTGCAGCCAGCTGCACCCCGAGGAAGCGGTGAGAGCCCCTCTTTTCTGCACTTCCTGAAGCACAAAACCAGCGCCGTGTCTGTGACCGCTACGTCCTGCCTGTCAGGTGTGCGGACTGGAGCCTCTGCAGCGCAATGTTAGCCTTGGTGAAGCCTGCGGATCTGTCAGAATACAAATTTCTGCATTCAGCGATGTTGTTACTGATTCAGTACCTTCAAGTTTCATATGTGCAGTATAGCCAAACAAGATCATTACTGGAGATGTTTATTATAATGTATGAGTGGTTCTATAAACTGAACTCGTGAATATGAACAGTGAATTGTTTTTTGCTGTTCTTATGCTTTTGAAGGAAACAAGGCATGAGGGACTGTGGTATAAAGCAAAAACGAGCAGTTGAGAAAATGGGGCTGTGTAGTTCTGTAATTCAAGTCATGTAATATTTTGATCATTAAACAGGCGAACATCTAATAGATGTTGACTTGAGCTGGGTGCAAATTGAATCATGAAGAGGACTGCCCTGGATTGCCAGCGACCTGGAATCTCTCATTGCTTGTATGGTCTAAGTACATGTGTTATTATTATTATCCATAATGAGCTGTGTTTGTCATTTTGTGCTTTATAACTGCCAATGGGGTGGTTGTCCCCAGACCACCCCCCTATAGCAGGACCCATTATCTTATAGCTGTATAGCTTATAGCTGTTATCTTCTTCCCTTCTTTCCTTGCTCAATATTGTTCATTGCGAG